ACACGAAGAGGCTATTTTTTTCTGGCCTGTACTGGTATTGCAAAGAGAAGGAAAAAAATAAGGTGCAATTTTTAATCTTTTAGGTTACACTGTTTTTACGTAGGAATACGTGCAAAGCATAAAGGAGGTAAGCACAGCTTTATATAACTTAATGTTTTGAGTTATAGAAGAAAGTAATTTCAGGATAAGAATTATATTCTTAAATCAAGATGGGAAACACTGTAACTGTCCTGAGCCATATTTAGGCAACAGAACCAGCAAAAGCCGTAAGATGAGAAAAGCCAGTGCAGTTCAGCCTTGGTTTTCAAATACATTCTGTACATTTATGGAGACAGACTTGAACGAGTTGAATTTGGGGTGGTTTTTTTGGCTGACTCAAAGGTGACTTATCTTTGATAATTATAGTAACGTAGTTCAATGCAGTAGTAAAACGATATAGTTCATTATATTGCGTGTACGTATATATAGATATATAACAAAGTTCATTGTAGTAATACAATTCAATACATTCAATTCTTTTTCTTCTGAAGCGGAAACAGCACTCCTTCATACAGATACAGTTGAAACAGCCTCACAAAAGGAAGGACATACCTGGTATTTCTACTTGAAGCAAAGAAAGGAGTTTCAAAATAAAAATGGGTATCCAACATAGTGCATCAGTAAACACAATGAAGAAAAAACGTTTAGCAAGGATCATCTCTTTTTTAATATGATTCCGAATTTCTGTAGCTGTAATAGCTGTTTGGTGAACGCTGTAGAACATACTCCCGTAGGAAAACACAATGATGATGAAAGCTGCCAAGTTTACACCTGTTTAAGAAGTTAAAGTTAGTTATAATTTAACAGCATAATGGCAATTCCACATCACCTATTTGTAGGCTGGTAGTAAAGAAAATGTTTCATCTAAACTACTGGTCCCATAGAATTAAGCAGCCAGGAGATCTGAGTCTGTCTTCAGATGAACACTGAATTTTCAGCTCTACTCAGATACTTATTTCATTCATTGTCACCTGATAAATGGCTGCCATCTGATCCAAATGACGTAGTTCTCCTCCTGGTCTTATCATTGCTCTACTTCCCTGACAAAGTCTATTAATTCAGGAACTTAATGGTCATTAATTTCTTTCTATTTTCTCAGCCCTTCATGCATTTTAAGATACGTAGGTATCTATCTAATATAGCAAAATATTCAGGCTGGAAAAAATCTGTAAGTGCTTACTGGGACATCTAAATAAGAGGTGTGAACATCACAGGAAAGCTATCTTATTTGTTTGAAAATTAAGTTCTCTTGCAGCTCTAATTATTTATAAGGAAGAAAGGCAACTTACCTAAAAAAATGACAACAGAATAAATCTGACTTGCTGAACTTTCTGATTGTTCTGAGTGAAGAGGAAAACAGACGCCGTTGGTGCCGTAGTAGTTCCTGAAAAATTCCTTATTGCTCAGCGGGATAAAAGCAACTGCAAACCCAATTATCCAGATAAGAACCAAAATGGAAATTGTCCTGCATTTTCTGGGCTTCAAACACCTAAAAGGATAAACTATGCAGATGTATTTTTCCAAAGTCAGGTAAGTCAACAGTAAGACCGACACCTCTGTAGACAGAATAGCCAGCGATCCCACCAGCTGACAATGAGTACTGTCCATCCACAACTGAGCGTGCTTGTTGTATTCTCCGCGATATTTAAGATCAAAAGCTCCAATCACAAATAAATATATTCCCATCAGACAGTCAGCACCTGTGGGCACAGTGCTTAACATCATTATTTACACATCTGAATTTCCCGTTCTCTGTGTATAGGTATATTGGAGAGCAGACATACACACGTATATATATGAGTACAAATTTAGAAGTCAGCTAATATACAAGTATAAAAAAAATCAATATTATAGTTAGAATGCTATTGTGAATTACAATTAAGGCAGTATAATTCAGTTCTATTATTTTTTTTTTTTTTTAAATTTTCATTTGGACCGGCAGTCTGTGTTTCATCCCTGTTTCCAACCTGATTTTTTGAAGCTCAGATAAAATTGGTTTGCAAGTAGAAAAAGATATGGCTCCATTTATAGAATTATTCTTGCAACCTGTTTTTTATCAGGTCTCATTCCTTTTGATATTGACACTTGGCTTAAGCTAATTTGCTCTGAGCAGGGCATCTGCTGGATTCAGAGTTAGTTTCGGTTTGTCCAGCTTATGCTAGTTCAAAACTGACATGCACAGTCTTCTAAGACCAGTAAGTGAAGAGGAGCTGTCAAACATAGAGCCGAAGGCTTCTCGGGTGTTTTGCCTGGAAGTTTTGTGTGGTGTTTAGACTGTTCCCATGAATAAACAACAAAGTTTCAAAATCACTGACATGCTGTATTTACAAATGTTGCGATCATTTAATACACTGTTGACAATTACCTTTCAAAATGCAACTAATTACGTCTGTGCGCTCCCTGTAGACTCTCCTGTACTGAGGCAGGGTACTTGAGATTATGGCAACTGTACTGCCAAATAGTTTGTCCATAAACCTGTCTTGCTTTTAGGACTAAAATAAGAAAACCCCTAATTCTTAATACCGGGGAGCTAGGAGGGATTAATTTTCTATACTTGCATAAGCAACCTTTTGCTCAAGCAGAAAACAACGGTCTTGAACACAAATGTTTACGCACACAAATTGCTATTTACTCAAAAATGCATAGTAAGACTTAGGTTTATGTGCCTTTGAAAAATTTGGAATTGTATTTCTACTTGCTGAAGAAAGTGGGTATTTGACACAAAACCTGCAGCATTAAAATCAAACATGAAACCTTTGGAATTTATCCGCTGCCAGAGAGACCTCCTGGTGCATAAGGTACAGCATTTTGTATTGCCATTTGCAACAGCATGAAAGTTCAGTTGATCCAGCACTGGAAATGTGTCACTATATTGTAAAAACAAATATCATCCACACCATGAGGAGCTTAAAACAATATTCTTTTACTTTTACACAAGGAGTACTCACAGCAGAGAGACATTATTGAGATGGCATGGAGCTTATTCTCTGATCTGATGTAAGGCCTCATGCAGATAACAAAAATGTTTCCAAAGCAGGTGATGGCAGATACAACCCAGACAAACACTCTCTGTATGATGCTAGCTAAAAGATTCTCAAGGGATGAAATCCCATCTGTATTGGGCTTACAGCTGCGCACGTGAGGGGCATATCCACAGTACTGGAATTTCTTAAAATATCTGGTTGTGAGAAAGAAAAACAGATTAGAGGTAGTTCTAGTTTGGTTGCCAGAATATCAAAACTCCCTAGTAACTACTCAGGAAACGTTTTCTGAAAGAAGAAAAATTAATTAAAAACTGTCAGATTTGACAACTGCTCACATGCCACTTCTCATACACTTTTGTTTTTAGTTATTCAGCATTCTGTAAATTGTAAAATTCAGACCAAAGAAAGCAAACTGGAATAATCTACTTAGAATCATAGAATCATTTAGGTTGGAAAAGACCCTTAAGACCATCAAGTCCAACTGTTAACCTAACACTGCCATCCCACCACTAAACCATGTCCCTAAGCACCTCGTCTGCCCATCTTTTAAATGCTTCCAGGGATGGGGACTCAACCATTCCAATGCTTGACAACCCTTCCAGTGAAGAAATTTTTCCTAATATCCAATCTAAACCAATCCTGGCGAAACTTGCGTTACTTACATGTGGGAAAGGTTTCTCAGGGGTCTGAACATTCTTCTCTGGATGTTTGCAATTTTTATGCCCTCCAAGCTGCTGTAAACAACATACTCTCAATAAAAGACAATAGAAACTCAGTAGTGAAAGAACAAACTTTACCAGCATTTCATTGTGTTTCTATGATTATATGTAACTAGAGATGAACTTTAATTGCATCTACTCTGTCATCCCTTTGAAACTTGAACAGAGAGTCTGCATAGAAGCTAAAGTGGAATAAAATGAATTGCATTTAATTCTAATAACCTTGCTGTTCTTCCAAAATGACGAAGGCGGCACTTCTAGTGCTCTCAGCAGTGCAACCTCCGATTATTATGTTGCCCTGCCAAAGTATTGTTCTACTGATGTTCTTTCATCATCTCTGAGAAAATAGCAACTTGTTCCAATAGTAATATTTTACATGTCTCTTCTGTTTTTTATCTTAGGGAGTGCTTTACTAGACAAACAGACCACTGCAGGAATTCAGTCTTCATTGTGCCAGGAGCAGCAGGAAGCTGGGACACAGGACACGGCACATAAAGGACAATGCTGGCTTTCTTGTGACACATAGATGGGATTTCTTATTTTATTTTTTTTTTTTAATGTATTGGAAACAGCACTATTATTTCCCCTGCAGTGCTAGATCAGTGAAGTGTCACTGTGTAAGTTGTTCTTTTAGAACTTCAGTTTCTGCATTCTTCTAGTCCATCCCATCCATCAGTTAGATGCACAACGTGTCTTCTAAATTGCAACCTGTCAGAGGTCTTTGGTCCTTCTTGTGGGGAACCTTATTTGAATTCACCATTCAATACTTTGAGCATGATATTCCCATGAATTCTGAGCACATTTAGGCAAAAGTGGAGAAAGGTGTCAGTCTTACTGGTCAGTTGCTTTGGGCTGGTGAGCAGTTTTGCTAGGAGACAAGAATAAAGCCCCAAATATGGAAACTTCTTAGTTTTGTTTAAGCACTGCAATGAATCCTGGGGTGTGCTTTCCCCAGCTATTATTACTATTTTGAACCAGAATAGTGGCAACTCGTGGTCTAAAAACTGAGTGCTGAAACATACTGTTTCCTATAGATCTATCTCAAGATTTAACAACTATCTCAACTTAAAAATATAGGTTGTGTTCAGTCCATTGCATGAGTTCTTCGGTGTTACATAATGGATAAAATATATGTTGTAGCCTGACTCTTAGGGAAGTAATTAATTACTCTTTTCTGTGCTCAGCTGTTTAATGAAATTTGTACAGATTTAGTATTTTCAGGTCATTAGCCATTTACCAAATTTAGTTGAATTTGGCCACTGGATTCCAAATCACTGTGAGGAAGCAGGACTGGCCAGCAAAGGCACCTGCACTGCTGGCTACAGCTCAGGGCTCAAATCACAAACTTCTATTATGCTCCTGCCCAAGGAAACATCTCTCTTTGGATCTCCACAACCACTTTGAAATGATGACCAACAAGAACGAGTGCTATGCTCTACCAAGCTGGTTACTGCAGACATGCAGCAGCCTGTGAAAATGTACTTAAACCTACTGCAAGATATTTTCAGAATTGCAAGACTGTCACTGCACAATTGCACAGTTTTAGGAAGAGCCCTGCTGGCAGAATTCAAGCTAGAGCTGCTGTGTTAGTGCACCCACAAAAACTCCCCCTAAACTCTTCAAAAAGATTTGTAAAAGTCCCACCTCTCTCTGACACTGGAGCTGAATCATACTTGGCTTATATTGTTCTTTTCATGTTGTTAGCAGTAGATTCTGTAAGAGCAGAAATATGTCCCCAAACTTGTACATATACCAAATTCCTTCATAATTCCTGTCTTTACTCATCCTAATGGTACCTGCCCATGGCATTAATAGCCCCAACTAGACCTTGCATGACCCTTAAATCTTGTGAACAAATTGTGCAAGGTCAAATGAGGGTTGCATTAATCTTGTTCTGTAATAGCAGAAAGGACAATGTCCTTTTCTAAGCTAAATTTACGATCTCTTTTTGTTGGAAAAATTTCCATTATGAAACTGATATTTTCAGGCAGGAAAATCTGAGTATTCCTAGTAAATATTTTCCAGGCTCAAATTGTTGAGGATCATCAACGTAACTATAAACTGTTTCAAGGGCAATTTCTTATAGAACGTACTCTGGACTGTGCCCTTCTGAAGGAGATGTGCCTAATCACAAAGGAAACATAGCTAAAATATAAAAACTTGATACTTACAGAGATTTGAGTTTAATTAGAAAATCAAACTGGTCTATTTGTATTTTCTTGATTGGGTTGTAAGAAAGGTTCCTGTAAATACAACATAGGCATAAGTAACTTTGTAAATCTTCCTTAAGGCTTGTTCCAAAGACAAACTACATAATCCATTTGCTTTTCCAGTCCTGTAGGAAGGACTTGGACAATTGGCAGCTCCAGCTGCAAATGGTAACATTCACTTAGTTATCCAGCTTGCTAGGCCAGTGGAAAGAGTAGTTAGATGCTTCACATACGTGCTATTGCCACACACACACACGCAGCTGTCCACCCCCCAGCCTGATGCTTAAAGGTTTTGACTATAGAAATATTTAGTTATTAAACTTCCAGGAGTTGTTTTTCAAGCAAAAGAACCTGGCTGAACTGTGTGCATTTAGAAATAAATTACAATTGATTTTGCTATTTGCTAAAACCTATTTTTCTGTAATAATTTGTGTGAGTTCAAGAAGAGACAGAGGCAGTGGAATGTAAAAACAGACATTAGCATTAGATGCTATCACTCTGTGCAAGAGTGTTTCTAGGTACATCCCCTTTTTCTTCTCCCTGTAACTTTTCCTTATGTTTTCATTTTGATATTGTAACTAAAATGTGCAAACTCAATAAATGCAGCTGTACACACTTGGTTGCCTCAATGTATTGTGATGGATCCCAAGGATGCTGGAAAAGCACAAAAAGAAGTTATTCCACATACTACCTCCTCTCCTCCGGAGAGGTCTTCAATTTTGTGACTCGCGCCTCTCTCAGATTATGCCAGAAAGATTGGGACTTCCCAGCAGCAGCGTTTGAGAATTAGCCTATTTATGTGTTGTGGGAAAAAGAGAGAATGTCTTTCTAGTCAATACCTTTCCGGTATAATACCTCATGCTTTTTTGGAACTCCTTCAGAGGAAAAAACCAGTTGCAAACAAGGCATCCGTATGATGCTCTTACATGTTTATAATCTATTTTTAGAGCCAAATCCTGATACCACATTAAACATTTCCATCGAATTTTTAATTTCTCATGATATAGCTAGCATAGTTCATTTTGTATATACTAACAAGATCCAGAAAAAGGTAGAATTTGAACTCGCTATCTTTTGGGACACAAAAATGCACATCTTTTACAAAACTATTCTGGGCAAAATCTTATATAGAATTACTTTTGGGGTAAGTATTTTTTAGGCAGGGCTTAAATGACACATACAAACAAATGTGTTCTTTTCTTTCCCAGCATTCATAATTGAAAGCATCATCTCAAATGAGTAATATACAGTTATATATAATAATAATCAAGAATCCTTACAGTTGTGAAAGCTCCTTTAGATCCTTAAATATGTATGGAGGAAGTGATTCAATCTTGTTGCTAGCCAAATCTCTGCAGAAACAGCCACAGGTAGGATACAGTAAGTTCTTACTAGGATCAGTGATTTTACTGAACAGCTTTGCAATTTCAAGACACACAGTTTTATTCTATTTGCCAGATAGGATATTATTTACTACATAGGCTATCAGCAACTTGGAGTGTAAAAGAATGCTGTTAAAAGAATATGGGAAGCTAGATCCATCAGATCTCTCTTTGTCTGGTTAGTTCAGGTATGCCATTAGATACATAATTTATTTTTTTTTTATTCACATCACAAAGAAAGTAAAATACCCTTAACTTGGGTTTTAGGAGCTTGGAAATAAATTAAACATATTGTTTCATTATGGGAATTCTTTCACATGGGCTAACCAGCATATCCTTCCCTTAGTTCTTCTCTCTACCTTGCTCTTTATTTTCACTAAAAATAAATCCTAATAACTGTGGACAGAGGAGTAAAGGTCACACGCACGTAGACTGTGGTGATGTAAGATTAATTAATATTATTCTATTCAGGGAACATAATGCTCTCATGAGCAAAAACTCCAATATCATTGATACAGAGAATGTATCGACTCCTTCTTCCCTGTTAAATATATAGAAAAAACCCTGAGGATGGGTGATGTCTCGAGAGCAGTTACATGAAACAGAATTTATGATAAATGACATTTGCAATGTAAACTATAAAACTTTGTGACTTGAAGTACAAGTAAGAGAAGAAATCAACTCACAATTCATCTAACATCTGGAGAGAAGAAAAGCTGTTTTCATTTAAAGAGCTGATTTTATTTCGTCTCATCACCCTGAAAGAATAAAACAAACTTATGTTGCTGCTTCTTGACATCTGTTTAGTTTTGGAGAAAATTTTTTATGAACTTTAAAAATTGTCTCTTCTCTGCATCTTCAAATATTTGCCCAATTCTGTTAACAAACTAATTGGATCTAGAAGCTTACCATTTGGTAAATGGCCTTTGTTGCCTATACATGCATGTATTTGTGCGCATATATATGCATAGGAGGCCTGCATGAATTGGCTGACTGCAGGAGGAAGATTAAGTGGGCTGGAAGGCATGCGACCTAACTGCATCTTGGGCACAGGCACCCGGCCGTGCAGCCTTTCCTTCACTCCCGGTTCACCTGCCACTGAGCCCGCTCCTTAAATGAACAACCTGGATTTTAAAAGCAAAGAGAAAGCCGAAAATATGGGTACTGCAGAAGAGTTAAAAATTGAAAATGGCAGGTACCACAGAGCATACCAATCTAGCAAAAGGTTGAAGAGTTTTCCTGAAGATGATTACATCACCACCAAAGAAACTTTGGGGAAAACTCTAAAATTTCTGAGCCAGCCCACCAACCAGCCAATCAAACTCTTTAAAATGAAGAAACAAGCTATATGTTTTGTATGTTTGCTGCTTTTTATTATGAGATTTTTGCCTCCTAGACATTTTCTAAATCTTAGTATCAGTCATAATTGCTTCATACAGTTGCATATATCAATGCGGTACTTGCTCTAAATGTAAACAGTGGTTATTCTGTATGGCGCCCATCTAAACCCAAGCATTTTAATTTAACCTCCTTGAGATCTAAATAACCATGACACTCAGGAAACTTTTATATGAGCTGCAATGAATCAGTTGACTGTTCGGCACAAGCCGATCTCGCTCTGGCTGGCCAGCATATCTTGCTACTTACAGCACGGTTAGAGTGTTGCAGGAGAGGAAAGTGGCATTTCTTACATGATGAATATGGTTGCCTTCGAGGTCTCTGGGATATAAAAACAAAACACCGATCACTGAAAATAAACTGAGGTAGTTATTCTAAGGTAATTAAAGATAAATTCTACCAGGACTTCATGACCGCCCAGGGGGGAGTGGGAACCAGACATCCGATTTTTCTGCACACCCAGTTGATGACTTCAGGTCACCAACCCTGAGGTCACCCAGCAGGCGCTCTGCAAGATCCAGCGCCCCGTTAGAAAAAGTGTCATTGAAGCGCCATACAAAGATAACAAAATAATATTTTTCTAGTGAAACAAGGTAGACTTACAGCCAGTTTAGTCTTGGCATGTATTGGCACAGAGGTTTATCAGGCAAACGAGCAAGAGAATTATTCATCATCTCTCTGGAAAAAAAAAAAAGTATAGCTGGCTATATTTGCCAAAAATATATTATAGAAAAAAAATCATGTCTCTTATGTTTGTACTTTTGAAAAAAAGACAGTCAAAGCTTGATTAATTTCTCATAGTCTTGGAGGTAGTATTATTTTCTTTATTGGCACAGAGGTTTATCAGGCAAACGAGCAAGAGAATTATTCATCATCTCTCTGGAAAAAAAAAAAAGTATAGCTGGCTATATTTGCCAAAAATATATTATAGAAAAAAAATCGTCTCTTATGTTTGTACTTTTGAAAAAAAGACAGTCAAAGCTTGATTAATTTCTCATAGTCTTGGAGGTAGTATTATTTTCTTTAAAATTCTACATATTTTCCCTATGGCATTCTGCAGAGCAGTATTTTATGCTTAAGTTGTTAACTACCAGGTAAAGGAAAGACGTTCACTGCTTTTTTAAATAAAACACAGCAAGTCAACACAAATATTTTGGCTGCTCTGTCCTGACACGTAACTTCCATTGGTGAATGGAGGGAATGGGAGATGGAGGGAGGTTTCCCTCTGGGCTGCAAGGGAAGGGCGTCCCTTGTGTGTGGGTCTGGAAAGGGCAGCTGCAGGTTATGGTCAGGGTCCCAGGGAGGGAGGCCAGGCTGCTGCTGGGGGGTAGGAGCTATGGGACCCCCGCCTCCCACCCCGTGGCTCTGGAGGACAACTGGCTCCCATTGCTGCAGCAGCCATGTCCTTGCCCCCTCAGTGATGTTGCCTTTTTCCCTTTTTTCCCACCCATCTCCCTATACTTTTCCAGACACTGCATGTCCGCTGCTGCCAAAATCCTCCTACTCCAGCACATCTTACCTGGGGGTAAGAAAAAGCCGCAGGTGTACTGCCAGCACCCCGTGGCGAGCAAGGAGAGTCATCATAAAAAGGTTTTTTTAATCTATCTGTCCTTTTCAGTGATGTTGCCTTTTTCCCTTTTTTCCCACCCATCTCCCTATACTTTTCCAGACACTGCATGTCCGCTGCTGCCAAAATCCTCCTACTCCAGCACATCTTACCTGGGGGTAAGAAAAAGCCGCAGGTGTACTGCCAGCACCCCGTGGCGAGCAAGGAGAGTCATCATAAAAAGGTTTTTTTAATCTATCTGTCCTTTCCGTTCTGCTCTTTTAAATAACACTTTTGGTTCTTATTCAATACTTACAGAAGAATAAGTGATTTGAGTCCATAAAATGTTAATGGAGAGATCCGATTTATCCTATTATTTTCAATTATCCTATAAATTACAGCAAAACTTGTATCAGTTTTATAATGTCTTCAGTCTTAAATTGAACAGATGATAAGAAGTAACATACTTTGAAGTGGATTTCTTTACATGTGCATTCAAACTACTTAAAAAATTAATGCATTACTCCTTAGCAGGTCAGGGTATTCAATGAATTAAATTAAATTCTTCTGGAAGGAAATTAAGTAATTACTTTCAACTTAGAAAAAAGTTTTTCTTGTGAGTTTTTAAAATTCTTTGATCAAGACACTTTGAATGGATTCCTTGTGAAAGTAAAGCAGCACCACATAACCACGTTTCATGGCAATCCAGCAGTTCCAAACACACAGAGAAACGTTAGTCATGCTATTATTTGCTTATTTTTGATAACTTTACTGAGTCAAAACAATACTTCATTTTCATCTGTCTGAAAAGCAGCAATAAACCAAAATTTCAGATTATGACAGTTATTTTGTTCGGGACATTTCCAGCACTATTTACAGGGAAGGACCTGTCCAAAAAATTCTCTTTCAGCTGTTTGATAGTATCCGAGTTATTTCATGTATTAATTTGTAACAAGCAATTACTAATAAATGTTATTTAGTATTGTAAAAGTCATCAGTCATTGGAGCCATTAAGGCCCAAGAACTAATTTCAGTTCTCACCAAAGTCAGCTGGATTTTTACCTCCCACAGTGTAACAGGAGTTCCTTAATTATTCTCTCATATAAAGTACTACTGCGTGAAAAAGTGAAAGTAATCAAAATATTTCTTTCTCTTGCTTTAATTATTCCTTGAGAAAATTAATATACAAATAAGAAAACAACATACAGCCATTCAAGTTTGTGGAGATCTTCAAAGACACCAGGCTTCAAACTGGTTAACTTGTTGTTACTCAGGTATCTGAAACATGACCAATAAAAGATAAACAAAGGGAATGATTAATTAGCATCAGGTGCATGAAAATGAGTTTTAAGATTTTTCCTTCATAATTTAGCAGAATACTGCTAAAATTTTTTCATAATTATCATTTTTGATTATGGCAATTTTCCTGTCCTTCTCTGAGAACAAGGTGGGACTCTCCATAGTGAGGACTTCTGGGACAATTATGTAGGACGTTTTGTCTTATCTACAAGAAAACACAGCAAGCTAAATATTTCCACTGTGTCATAGTTTAGGCCCTTTCCAGTTTCCTTCTGTGGATTGATTCATTCCATGAATGTTCTCAGGATCCCGTTCAGTCTTGGCTAAGGACGTTAGTCAAATGTAGATACCAGAATCATGGAAAAAGAAGGCTTGAGAAATGAAGGGGGGGAGGGTGTGTATGATAAATGGTCTGGGAAGGTGGTAACAGCAGCTATAATAACAACTAAGCAACCACACTCGTGATGGAAAAAGGAGAGATACAATATTTTTAAAAAGTTTCCTCTTAAAAACACTGCAGAAATGAAAAGCTGAACTGAACACCACAGTTTGTCTATCATGTCTTTCACTGAGCATTTTGGTTAAAAGTTAGAAGCATCTTTCAAAAAGCTGCTGCAAAATAAAGAAAATAGTGTTCTTTTCATTACTGACACTGGTTACTTTGGTTTGCTTCTGTAAACCAAACTACAACATTAAAGAGTTTTGACTCACCACAAGCTCTTGCTTTTTTTTTTTTTTTTTTTTTCCATTCTTTCTGACTTTATGCAGGTAACTACCATACTCTCTTCTTCCGTTCTGCAGATTTGGGGAAGAGGAGTAATGTATAGACCCCACTTGTATTTTCCAAGTATTGCCCTGTCAGGCAAACTTGCACAGGTAGCTCTTAATCTATCTTTGCTTTCTTAATCCAACTGTTGAGTTAAAGACTTGGACCATTTTGCAACTTCCTAACATTGAAACAAATAAGAGTGAGCCATCCAACAGTGACTCTCGGAGCTCTTCTCATTGCTCTTTACTTCAGTATTCAAAAAGCAATACTTACAGTTTTGTCAGGTTGTATAAACCTTTGAAAGCACGTTCAGACACAGCTCTGATTTTATTATTCTGAAGATACCTATGAAGACACAGCAACAACAACGATCAATCCCCTAAGCACGCAAAGTCAAAGCAAGCATAAATAACCAATTAAAATCTATCAGCTAAACTGAACATCTGTGTGGTGTGGTACTTGAAAAGAAGCTGTCAAACTTGTTACATCTTAAGCTTGACAATACCCATCTCACAGCTTTCATTGCAAAGACTGCAAAGGTGTTTTAAAAGAAATACCTCCCCTTCCCAGCAGCATCACAAAACTCATTCAAAGGGACGCTTGGTTTGCCTGAGATGAACAACAAAGTGGTTGTACGCAACCTCCTGTTTTAGGTCCTACCCTTGCAGTTCTCACCCGGGTGACCTGATCTGAATGTTTAGCCAGAACCCTGCTACAAGCAACAAAATTTTGCATGGCAAACGTCAAATTATCATGTGTTTTTGAATTTTCTGTCTATAGTATCAGAGAATTTTCAAAATGCTGCACTTTTAAGATAATATAGTAAAAATGTAAACCGAATCCTACTGATTTTCTATAAACTAAAGAATATTGTTTTTCTCCTTCTGTATTTCTTTATCTACTTTGATGAAACAATAAGTTCAAAAATATTATCAACTGCAAATGTTAAATCATTTTCAAAATAATCTTGAAGTATTATAGGGTTATTTGCTGAGTAATATTTATATATAAATCCTTTTGATTAAATTACAGTTAATAAAGCACCCAGTTGCCTTCCTGTTAAAAAGCAGTAAGAAACCTGATACTGGCTTTTACAAAATGGGTTTGTGTCAAACGTTGCTCAAGACCCTTCTGAAAATGTACAGTTATCGATCAGAAACATGTGAAATTAATATTAGGAACAAGTGGTTTGTACAGACAGATGTGGATGTATTTCTTTTAACGAAAACGTACCTTTTCAAGGTAACAAAGGCACTTAGCTTTGTGAGCACAAGATGGTGCTGCAGCACAGCACCCTTTCCATAAGTTGTGCTCCAGTAAGTTTTCTAGGAATGTGAAGTGCCTTGATTTGGTGACACAGGAGCCCTGCTCTAGACTTTTGCATTTAATTCTGAATTTCACTAATTCTATATAACGCAAACTTGTCAAAGGCTACAACCTTGGAACAACATATAGGTTACTTATCATAAAACATAACGCAATATTGTGTTGCCATAACAATTTGACTAGATGGGGCATTGTCAAATTGGTACCAGACATTATTAGGAGTAAAACCAAATGCCACGTGAGTGAGCTTCCCATGACAATGAGAAGTTTAAGTTTCCAAACTTTTGTTTTGCAGACTAAATGGATCAAGTTACTGGATCAAATGAATAAATGGAGAATAAATGGATCAAATTTCATTTGGCATCTTACTGTTCATTATAAATGTAACTTCCTTCAGACAGAATGAAAGTTTAGCATTTTTCTGGTATAAAATGGTCAATATAAAAAAATTAAATATGCAGAAATTATGGTTTTGCAAAAAGAGAGATGTCAAATTAAGCTATTTGAGCCAAACAGGTTACACAATTAGATGAGGTACTGAAGGGTAAGACAAGACAGAATTTTGACTATAAACTGAGTGTTGTCACTTAGATGTTAAGCTCTGTGTGTGTGTGTGTGTGTGTGTGTATGTGAGAGGGAGAGGATGAATATTTAAGACAACAAATAGATATTTTAAGTTGAAGCACTCCCTTACAGATTTTTAAGGTCTTGGTATTTCTTGAAAATATCAGCAGAAAGTTTCCTTAGCAGATTCCTCTGAAGAGACCTGTAGGAACGAAGGCAAACAGTAAAACCACTCTCCCAGCTTCCTACAGTGCTGCCACTTTTGTTATTCAATAAGAGCAGCTTTCACACTGCTAAATAATAAAAGCAACACGAAAGCATCTGAATATGCTACCTGAAAGCATCTGAATATTTGTACCTATTTAAGCAGTAAGGCAAATACTTTATCATCAAAAAATATTCTTCCAGAGCAACTGACAAAATAATAGTTAAATCTAAGAGTTAAAAAGTCCCGAGTACAAACTAAACCACAGATTTATTTCAAGCCTCAAATGCCTACAGAGTTTATTTCCCAGGGCAAGTGCCCCTGTGTCCCCATCTCCATCGGGCACCAACTCAAGTGTCCTGACAAGAACAAAAGTGGGTCAGGGCCTGGTTGGATTAGAAGAGAGTCCATCCCAAAAGCCAGCTGAACTGACTCACTGCTTTTTCTTAAGCTAGAAGTGAGCCATTATTTTTGAAGTCTTTGTTGACCCTGAGGCAACAGCCAGTTTAAATGTATCTTTAAATGTACATTCTGCATCAATCTTTGTTATGAAGTATTGTGGTATTTGAACACAGGCCCAACAAGGAGAACCTCAGCCACACCTGAGCACAAACCGGTGCTCAGGTAAGGACACCTGGTGCTGTTCTCTGCACCACACCGAAAATAGCCTCTCAAACAGCGATGTGCGAACTAAAAGCAGTATCAACCATTCCCTGTTCTCTGCAAAATAATTTGGCTTACACATATGTATCTGTATGATGACCCAGCCCAGATTAAATCCTTTTAAATAATGGCATATTCACAGACATCAAATAAGAAGTAAAAAGATCTGCTCAAGCAGGTAGTTCCACTGAGTTCAAGGTTATGGACTTTTTTGGCAGGAATATAGACTGGGAATATTGGCAGGATCACAGAATAATAAAAAGGTCCTAAGCATTGTGTCTTAAAAGGAAAGGTTTCCTCTGAAGATTTCTTCAGATTTGCTGAAACCGCTGCTAGCTCAAGTCACTGTTACAAACATGAAACGTTCACTTCACACGGAGTTTTTTAGTGCCTTTTCTCTCCTTTTATGCAGGGAAAATCTGTACTTAAAACATTAAAGGACTTGTCAGCAGAGAGACACTACGCTTTCACAAGCACCAGCTGAGCCAACTGGTCATAATTATAAGGCTGTAGTTGTGAAAAGGTCAGAGGATTGATAGCCAAGCCTGAAGAGAGCAAGGGACCACTTTTCTGCTCTACTTACATTATGGTTATGTTTGAAGAGACGGACGGGACAGCACGCAACTTGACAGCGTCGCAGAAGATCTCCAGCCCCCGGCAGATACACTCTGCTGGCACAGCAGCAGCCACTGCGCGAAAACAAGAATGTGGTTATGGCACGTTGGGTGGGTGGTGTGATGGGACAGGGAGAAAAGAAATATGGTGTAAAAGAACAGTGGGCACAAAGACAGACGTACCAGGCGGTCTTAAAGTGAAACTGAGGCACACGTTTTTATGTAATTGATTTAGACCTGGGAAGACCCTAACAGTAAAGGGACACAAGAAATTGTTACCTCCCTGACCTCTGTGAAAGAGTTTGTAAAAGTTCTTGAGCTTTGGGCTTGATACACGGGGAATCTGGCATGGTAGCGGGTTTTCAGATTTTTTTGTGGCTCGTTTTTAGATTGTTCAGTCCTCTTATATTTACTAGAACGAGCACAATTCTGTCCATGTGAAAATGGGATAAAAATGGGTCAGGAAGTCTTTGCTCCTTTCCCCCCGTCCCCACCTCTGTGCTTTAGGTTAGTGCTCACAGTGGACAGCAGTGTCAGAAAATCTCTATGAAAGGACAAATGCTCGGAGAAGTGGAGGGCGTTTGCAAGGATCATTTGATGTATGATGAAGGGAATTTGGAGGAATGTTGCCTTCATTTCACTCCTAAAGATGTGTCTTTCATGGTCATTCTAGCTATGTTAATATATTCAGCTATACATTTATATTGCCCTCCTAACTGGCATATGTTTGACACTTACAGAAAATGAATCATCCTTAGTGGAACTGAAATTAGCTTCAATGCTTTGTTCATCTGAGACATTAATTCTGTTTTACTATAAATGAAACTGCACTATATTTCTCTTTCTGATAAGCACGTTTGCTATGTATTTCTTTCTAGGAATCATCAGTAATAATCACCCAAATTATATCTGTAATTACTTACAGCACTCAGATGTCTTTGTCTGAAATGCATACAGAGATTTCAGTTTATTGTATTTGTCCTTTGTATAATGTTTGTCAAACTGCAGAGACCATCCATTGTTGTCTTCTAATAAAAAAAAACACAAATAGAAGACACATTAGGACAGAAATTTAGTTGCATCATTTTTTTTTTGCCTCAATAGCATGATTTTTCCAGAACATTTCATAGGCCATTAGATGACCTTATCTTTATACAGCTGCCTAATCACAGGTAGGTACGGAGATTATGAGCCCCACAGGAGGAACAGCTTCAACAACAACATTTTCTGTGACAGTTGCACTGAAAAGCTGTCATTTTTCACTTCAGAACTTTCTGGTAACGTAATAGTATAAAAATGAGAGGCAACCATATTTTCCTACCTCCTTAAATGTGCGGGTTTGTCACTTTGTCCAGGAAAGCTCAGATGGTTACTACATCTCTGACCACTTTCAGAGGGCTGTCTCACACTATCACAGCCTATAATTTCTTTCCTGAAAATCTAGATGAAGGCCAAATGAGCAGTGCTTTTCAAGAGAATGGGTGACGTGGTGCAACACATTCAAGTCAGTATGTTTAAGTTACGCTTGATATGCACCTTCTTAAACAAAAGCATTATTCCATATTACCAGTTTGGTCACTGCACATAGATGTACTGGAACAGAGTGGATTATGGCCACAAAGGCAAAAATTGGAGAGCAGATCTTTCAGTCCCTTCCCACAAATGGGGATTTCCAGATATGGTGGTGCTGGAAATAACCACAGACCTGGTTTTTGGAAGTCTGTTGTATAGCTGACATCCATCTGCAAATTAACTGATCAGGTAACCACTTCCAAAACAGGTCATGACTACACACCACCAAAAAAAAGAAACCAAAAAACCAACCCAAACCCCAAAAAACCTTACCTTTAAAAGCTGTGATGCAATTTTAGTTTTATTAATTTGAGCCTGACCTCTCTTCAGCTTTGACAACACCCACATCCTTTTAGTTTAAAGCATCTCGCATAATGAATATGCACCAGTTGCAGAAATATTCCTTAGGATAGCACCCACTAGCTGGTGAGTCAAAGCATCAGTGACAATTGGAAGCATTACTTTTTAATGATACCTACCATCAAACAACATCTATGTGAGAACTCTGAGGATGGCTCTGCTTCGCTAGTCATTACAGTCTTCGTTTCACTTTTATGATACGTTAGCAACAGCCTTACCCCCGCCCTTTCACATGGTAATAGTTTAGTTAAATACCATTCCTCATGGACATTTCTCTATACGTTTTCATATTCAAGTACACATTACTACTATAGCTATTGGCTTCAAAATAGGCAGGGAGAAAAAAAAAAACCCATATTTACTCCTGTGCAGCTTTTCCCATTCTGAAATGGCATCTCCTTTTTCATGTCACGTTACAACTGGGTTGTTTTCTGAGCTAGGGAGGGGAATTACCTTGACAGCATCTCCTGCAGCCTGCCTAAGGGCTGTCAGCAGATGGAGCTGCTCTGAGAGCTGCCTGCCTCTTCGCTGCCTAAGCTGAAAAGATGTACCATAAATGCTGATTAATAGAGATAATGAAAGATTAAGGAACTCCAAGCAAACCACCTTTTGTCTAGTTATTCGTTTGTTACACATAAATTGAAACAATGAAAGATTGAAAGCAACTAAAAATCTCTGTCTTCAGGAATTTCTCCATTAAGAGAAAAGACTTGAAAAGTGCCTTCTTCACTCGAAAATTAATGTGGATTAATTGATGCCCTGCAAGAATGCCAGCTTCCCACCCGGAGAAGGCATTTAAACACCTTTTACTAACTTCCTCGAGAACACTTGGTATGCTCTCTGATCCATTAGCAGTTTTGCCAGGTCAGATCATTGAGCTGATATTTAGAAAAAATGAAAGGTGTTGGCAAACCAGCAGAAATATTGCTCCTGCCTGTTTTAAATGCTCAGCAGAAGTTCAGTTTCAGGACCAGCTCACAAAACTGCAACACGGAATCTGTAACTGATGAAGTGATGAGAACAGACCCTTTGCCAAGCGGCAAGTACCTTATAAACCTCCTACCCTGTAGTTAGGGCTGTAATGAGGTTTCTCCTATCACTGTTTCTGAATATTTAACTCGAGCATATCCATTGACTTTAATTTGCAAGACTGGACCCAGCAATTAGGACCTGAAGAAACTAGTGGGAAGACAACGTATGTGAAGGAGGTGAGATTTAAGAAGAAAGGAATCTTTCACGGAGGATTTTTAAAGAGAAATTTGTAAAGATGTATTAAAAATTATATAATTCTTGGAGCATAATCATACCAAATAAATACCAAAAATATTTTGCAGTCAGTAATACACTCTCAAAATATTTTTGGACTTTCTAATTCATAATTACGTTCACAGAAAGTTTTGGACAACTAACCACTTACCTGCAGCTTCTGAATATATAGTTAAAAGCCATAAATTCTACTCCTCCTGTAAGCCAAGGAACATATAAAGTATCATATTTCTGCATTTCCCTGATTCTGACACTAAAGAGTAGATGGATGAGATTTCATTCCACCTTTTAATGTTTTTAAAGTGCTTTGCCACGTGACAAAGCACACACAAGAAGCGACTTCCCATCTGCAGAGAAAAAGCATGAGCGGTGCCTCCTACACAAGTGGGAACGAGGGAGCAATTTGCTACGAAGGGGAAGTTCACTGGCATTTTCAAGGAAGTTGAGAGGCAGTTGTGTGTGTTTGCGTGGCCATAAAAGAGAAGGGGGAAAAAAACACAGAGAAGGGAGAAGATGGATTATTTTGTACTGGAAGCATTCCAGTTGTCTGGAGTTTCTGCTCAGTTCACTTGAAACAAGAGGCTTTTCTCATGGCACTGATTTTCCTGCCTTGTAGAAATACAAAGGCATATCTGAATATAACAAAACAAGTTACTCAAAGTTTTCTGACCTTTAGAAATGTTTGCTTTGAGCCAAGTTTTGTGCCCAAGCCTGGGGCAATCTTTATTTTATGCAAACTGTTTTGTCAAATCTCAGAAGAACATATTGTGCAAATAACTATATTTAGAACGATCATTCTGTGAAGCACTCAACACCAGAACTGTAAATCACTTTGTGATCGTTTAAAGTTTATATGGTAGGTTTGTGACATGTTTACCTCTGTTGAGACGAGGTTCTCCAAACACTTTACAAAATCACTGGTAATAGTACTGGTCTTGAAATCCCAAATCTATCATTTTGGGGAGTACAGCTCAGACAAGAAATTACTTTTTCCCGAGCCAGTTCTAAAATAGATTATGTTGGCTGCACTTCTGTAAAAATGAGATCTGAGAAATCAAGGCATCAGCAAATCTTCCTCTATGTGGGATAAGCGGAATAAGTAACTGCAAATGGGACTTATCTGACTACTGATTAATACACTGTTCCTTGCTAAAAGTTGTCAATTACCATTTCTGATGGGAAAGAGAACGCGTATGTTAATCCTGACAAACTACAGATTTGAATAATCTGTTTAGCGACAGATCCAAGAAAATATCAGCTTTACTAAATTAAAGATACATCTCTTATTTAGGTTGGAGCTTATGGAAAGGACGTTATCTGTTCGACATTCCCCTTCTCTCAGCCACGTCTTCATGGGTTATTATGCAGAGAAATGCTATCAAATTAAATACATAAGCACTCTAAAGAGACTGTGTCACCCTTTGATTTCACCTTTGCTGTTGGTGGTCATAACCCGTGGACATATTTCTTTCTGCCAGTTGTTCAAATATACTTTCTCTTGCTGTAAGAAATTATTTCAGGCTTTTCACAAAGATATCTTTTAGTACAACAAGGAAAACCTGTATCCTCCAGACACAAAGCAATTCCTCTTAAAATGTTTACAGATGAAGGAATATAATCACCCTTTTCCACAATGTTGGGGCATACTAATACAGCCTAATAACTTACATGGGACCAAAACCACACTGAGATTTTACAAAGAGGAGCGTTGCAGTGCCTGGAGCATTCAACTCTGGGAGTGAACTTCACAGTTCCAGTTTAGATACCCAAGTGGAAAAAATGAAGAACCTATAAACTGGACACCTATCAGTGAAGGCAAAGGCAATTTACCCCCCACCAAACTGCATGTCACTGAACCTTGGCTGCTCCCTATAGCTGGTGATTACTTGCCTATCTATAAGTGATGATGAAGTCACAGAAAAAAAGGCAGGAATTAAATAAATTCAGATAAGCTTTATGCTTCTCTGGATGAGCTAGATTATGTGCTCACACAAGTTTATTCTTGATTTTAAAATAACTTAATCCAGTGCAACTTTTAAGAAGGTAGGCAGGCTCAAATTTCCAAAAGATAAATACCTTCTCAATATTGTAGCTTTATTCCTGTGAAACACTTGCATAGGGGAGTTTTCCAGTTTATATAACAATACTTTAAATCTATAGAGATTAATCTGATTTTCTATTCAGTTTTTCTCAAAGTATTCACATTTTTTTTAATACAAGTGAAGGAATAAATTAAAATAAGCTAATAGCACAAATACATCTATAATAACTTGAGTTGCTTGAAAGTTCCCTTAGCAGTCAGCCATTACAGTGGAGACCAGAAGAGACAAAAGTCCAGTGAAATGTAGAAGTTCCTCTTAGTTTTTAACAATATTTAAAGATCTCAATAACAAAATTGATTAAAAGCCTCCAGAATGCCAACAAAGCTATTCCATTTGGTGATACTTGCACATCAGTGTAAACCTGATTATTTCAGTGCCATATACTGTGGATGAATGGCAATGAGAGTGAGAATAAAATTTGGCTGTGTATGAAAAATTTCCATGTGAAGCTTGAAAATCTGAGCTTTTGCCAAGTATTTGCTACATCTTAAGCATGCTGCTCACTTCCAAGTGTTTCCTTTTTGCTTCATAAACACAGTTTACTATCTAGGGATCAAAATTGAATGGTGTCTCAAACATTTAAATCTCACATTTTAAGTATGATGGAAAAAAATGCCATGCCAGGAAAAGATGAGACCAACTGTAACATTATTCATTATTAGTATTAATTTGAAATATGAAGTCATCAAGCTTCTGAGGCAAAAATGGGAAACACAAACCCTTTGAAA